TTTTTTTTCTTCTATGGTGGAAATGGCCTTCCATAATATAACAGCGAGGTCTCGAAAAAAATAATTAAAATATTTAAATTAAATTTTTTCTTTTATAAACTATAATATGTTTCCAGGTTTAAATGGGGTTTAAATCCCATGTTTTCATTGTTGTCTAAGACTTTTGGATTTCACCCACCTGTGGCATAGCTGGCATAAAGTAACCACCGGCAGGCTGGAACTGGTTGATGATAGCATTGGCAGGCATGGCCCTCATGCCAGCAATACGCTGCATGTACTGGTTGGTCAGATGAGCTTTGCGTTCTTCTTTGCGTTGGGCCAGGGCTACGTACAGTGGTTTAGAGCCCACAATACGCCCGTTCATCTCTGTCACAGCCTTTGTGGCCTCCTCAGGTGAGGAGAAACACACAAAGCCAAAACCTTTGGACCTGCCATCCTCCAGCATCACCTACAGCAAGATATAGATTACATAAGATCTCACCTCTTCCTTCCATCAGTTTAAGTCAAGGATATAAATCCCACAGAAGCAGAATACTGTATAACTGGATCAAATATAGCCTCTTCGCGTCTTTAAATTGATTTCAACTAGTGTACCATCTATTCATGTGCTGCCTTCTAAAAACAAACAAATATGACAATGTACGTAAAAATTTAAATATGTAAGGAATATTGCTTGTTGGGTTTTAAATGTCTTTAAATCCCAGGTAACATCTCAATTAAACTACCTCAGTTTTTTTTTATTAATTGTGAGAATGCGCCACCCAGGATCATATTATTATAAACAGCAAAAATACATAAGATTAACAAAATTCTTCCTTGAAATTACCTACGCATGTGCCACTCCCTAATGACCTTGTGGAAGGGTGGAAAGGACCTTCAAATACAATCCCCTTCCCACTGTGCCCTTCAATGGTGCAAAATTTGTTTGGAATTTGTCCAAAGTGCTCAAACAGAAATAGACTGTAAACAGTCTCCCTTTGACCCACCTTGGCACTGGTAATGGAGCCGAAAGGAGAGAACTCTTTACGAAGTTTCTCATCATCGATGGTGTCATCAAGATTCTTGATATACAAGTTTACACCCTGTAAACACAAATATACACACAAATTGATACAAATGACTTTTTTAAAACTAAATACACAACCACACACACAAAGACACAACAAAGCAGTTCATTACCTGATATCTGCTGATTCTTTCCTGTTTGAGCTGTTCAAACTTCCTCTTGAGTTCTGCTTGTCTCTCCATCTTTTTCTGTGCTCGGCCAACAAACACCATCTTACCATTGAGTTCTGTACCATTCATCTCTTCCACAGCCTGAGACAGAAATAACATCACACTAAATCACCTTTCTGTAAATCTCTTTATCTGTCAGTCCATCCATCTATCTAGCCAATGAAAGTTCAATGACAATGTCAGTGCATCAATACAGTAACAGTTTTAGCATCAGCTGATTAGCTGATTTGCATTATGTGCAAATCACAGTATAAATTCACTGTACTTTGTTAGCATCTTCGTGATTCTCGTAGCTCACAAACCCAAATCCACGAGATTTCCCTGTGGGGTCAGTCATGACCTTCACGCTCAGAGTTTTACCTGCAGGTAGAAACAAAATCTTCAGAGAGAAAGTCCCGACTACAAGGCTACCACCACTACATTCTCTCAAACTCACCATATTTATCAAAGAGCTCCATCAGTCTCTGATCATCCATGTCCTCGCCGAAGTTCTTGATGTAAACATTTGTGAATTCTTTGGCTTTGGCGCCCATCTCTGCTTCCCTCTCCTTCCTGGACTTGAAACGCCCCACAAACCTACAAAAAACAGCGGAGACAGAAACGTGACTGTGCAGAAATGCAATACAGACTCAGACCGACAGCTGCAGACCAACCAACCACAGACACAAAACAGCTGCAGCAGCGACAAAACCGACTTATAAACACTAAAATGCTAGAAGACTAGCAGAAGATATTTTATAATAAAGTCAGAAGGGTCTAAAATAACGCTGCACCCCACTAACTTTAATTTTACAGACAAAACAGAGACATTTTTCAAAATAATAATTTTGCACTCCACAGAAGTAAGA